CATCATGCCATGCATTATGTGTAAGTTCTATGGGTTAATGCTAAGGGCTTCTACACAAATGTTGACTCAGATCACTTCCTTGGAATAAAAAAATGTTACGAAAGTAACAATGGTTGTACATTTCAATTCTGTATGCATTGGTCGGTCATAATTAATATAGAACTTTCTGATTACTAATTCTTTGGAAATTTGGAGACATATTTTTCCTTTGGAAATTAATTAAGATGCACAGAAAATTCTCAGCTTAAACTTGTTGAGCTAATTGAAGGAAAAGCAATGCTTAGATAGATCTAAGGACATTTAATTTAGTTGCTTTACATCCTTCTTTCTTACTTAGTGTGTTTCCGTTTTTTGCACTTGGTGGTTGTCCTTGAGGTTTCCCGCAGGAGACTCCCATACTAGTGAGACAGTGGTGTACTATTCCCTGCAACATTAAGAAACAAAGCCCACTTCGCAAATTTGGGGGGAGAGTTAGTGCTAGGATTTAAACTCAGGACTTCAACTTCGCACAGGCTATGCACATAAGCTACATCACCAGCCCTAGCTTGCAAACTTTGATCAGACTTTGTGACAGAGGGCTGTTGCAGCCTTCCACCTATGATCGTAGAGACAAAATAAATATATATTAGAACTTTCTTAAAGGTTTCTGTTTTGAGAAATGCGTTTCTCAGTTTTTGGCAAACAGAGGAAATGCTTCCTACTTGGACAGCAGGTTGTCAATCACTTGGAATTTGGCTCCTGGCTGATTGTGAGCATGGACCAGACTGTGAGCAGCTATCTGGGGTGTGTTGATGTGCCCTGAATCTTGCACTACAGAGGGAAGCCCCTGAAGGACACAGTCCGGGAGCCTGGAAGCAGTTCTGCCTAGCCAGCAGTCTTAAATCCATGTTTTTGTCCTTCTTAGTAAAGGGAAAATTAGTGAAAGTAATTTACTCTGCCCTGATAATTAATGTTTTACTTTTTTAATGTTTTTATATTTTAGGGAAGGGTGTAGAGGGAGTTCAGGGTCTCACTACTAGATTGGACTCATAGTGATCCACCTGTTCACAGTCTCCCAAGAGCTGGGATTACAGGCACACACCACCACCCAGTCTCAATTGCCCTCTCAGTGCACTCCGGGGGCAGGACCAGCATGGTAGGCCCAGGGATCGAACCTCCAGCCCCTGTACCTGCTTGCAGGCACTTTAATCCACTGAGCTATTTGGCCGGCCCTTGATAATTGATGTTTTAGAAGAGAATTTTTGCAGTGTGCCTTTAAGAGCACTAGTTTCTAGGACTTCCTCGGAATCCTGCTATTGAAGGGTGTCTGGGGTCGGGGTGGGGGCTGGAACGCGTCTTCATGAGTGGCAGCTCCTCAGGGCCAATGGGATGTTGGGGCTTGGCATTTGTTTGTCTTTTACTCTATAATGTTTCTCATGGACCATGTTGCCTTAGGTGGCCTCAAGGTGATCTTGGGTGACTTTCTGAGGAATAGGAAGAATAATGTCCCCCAAAAGGATGTGCATGTCCTGGTCTCCAGAATCTACGCTAAAAGGAGTTTTGCAGCAGTGATTAAGTCTAGCTGTTGAGACAAGGAGATCATCCTGGATTATCCGGTGGCCCTAGGGTAATCACAAGAGCCTTCCTAAGTGGCAGGCAGGAGGGCCACGCTTAGTGAGGAGACAAGTGGATCCGAGCGCTCAGAGCCTCTGCAAGCTGGAAGCCAGCCAACCATTGTAGACCTCTGACTTTCCAGGACTATCAAATAAGAAACGCGTGTGCTCTTTGAAGCCGCTAAGTGGATGGTCATGTGTCACCAAAGGCAGAGGGAAATTAACACACTGATGAGGAATTTCAGTCCCTTGTGGACTAATAATGAGTGGCTGCTCTGTGTCAGAGCCCAGTGCCCAGCTCGTCTGACCTAACCTTCCACAAGGACAGAAAGAGAGAACCTGATCAGAGAGTGCTGGCTGCTGCTGTTCAAATATGATCCTTCAAAAGGAAAGGGCAGAAAGGTGCAGAAGGAACTTGTTTTAATGGGACATTTTGCGCAAGAAGGCCTCATCAGGGGATGTTTGAATTGGCTAAAGAATACAGAAAAGTAGCAGCTATCCCAAGCTCTGGAGCCAAGGGATTCAGGCAGGGAACACAGGAAGGACCAGTAGGTGGGGTGACTACCCCTGAGCTGTGAGGCGAGGGATTCTCAGGGTGGAGGACTCCTCTCTGCTGTACCCACTCAGATTTGGAGCTTAGGGGGCAAAGAGTTGGGTATTCTTACTCCCAACCCTGGACGCTCAAGAGGTCCTTTTGAAACATTGCTCTCACCCGGGAATGTGGTTGAGTTCGCCTGTGGGAGGCATCAGTTAATAGAAAGGGTGTCTGTCTTTCCTGATGTCCTGTGGGAGGGGAGTCACAGCCCATTCTCTGCTTATTCCTTAGAAAACTTCCTCCCAGAACTCAGTAGTCAGCATCCCCAGCCAGCTTAACTCCCAAAGCCTTTCCCACAGCCTATGGTAGAGTCAGGGTCTTTCTACTCCTCCCCTTAAATTGCAAACAGGCTTTGAAGGGTGGATCTGGGCAGCCTAGTCTGCAGCAGCAGGGCATGGCAAGCTCTCCTGGATGGGGACAGGGCCTCCTGGCACCTCTGTGCAGGCAGAGAAGACAGGATTTCTGTTGCTGGCTCACTATGAGTAAGTCACAGAGCCCCCAAATTCACAGGTCTGCTTCTGCTCCCTCGTAGCCCATGCCATCAAACAGTTGATGTATATATTACTTTATCTGGATTTCCCAAGGAGGTGTCACCAGAGCATGCTGAAAGCCCTCCCAGCCCCCACCTGTGCTTCCTGGAGATTCAGAGGACAAGGCTCTAAATAACGCTGTAAGGAACTACTGTGGGAATACTGGCCCTGTTCTGTCTTCCCTCCTACATCATTTAAAAAATTGTACCTACCTTGTCTAGCTATTAGCAATTTTGAATTGCTTATAAGTGAAAACCAAGGGCATTTCCTGTCTTAAGAAATGTTTTATTTAATAGTCTTAATTCCTACTCAGGTACTGGGTTTTAAAGCCCCTAGATCTTGGGCCTCTCAGAATTAGAAGTGCCAGTGACCTTTGCTGTCTGTTTTCTAAGCCTGGCAGCCAGGTCAGACCCTTGTGCTCTGCAAAGAAGTGTGGAAGTCCATGCAGAGTCTGTAAGACCTTGCAATTGTGTGTGAAGTGTGGTCCTTTCCTTTTCATTTATTTAATGAATAGAATAAGGTAGTTATACTTAGTAATATCCATTCACCTAAAGGAAGGAGGGAGGGTTAACTCATTGCGTGTTTTGATGAATGGCTTGTACACCGAAAAATAAATTGGACAAACTGGCATAGAGCTCAGTGAACATGAAATCAGCTATTAGAAGAAAGCTTGTGAACAAATTCTGAGGCAGATATGCATCTTTTGATTAATGCCCTATCAATCATCCACACAGCTACCTTAGCTAAGTTTTGCTATAATCATTCATGATTGCTTTCGGAAACTGTGGCAGAAACTATAGCGCTGCAGAATCAGAATATTATTACTGATTTCTCCCTAACTTACTGTGAACAATGACTGTTTTCGACCTTGTTTCTGCTTTCCTTTATTAGAGAAATACAATGCAGAATGAAAGAAGAGTTCCTCAAAGCCTGGTGGAATTCTCCGAGGGTATTCTTAATGATATTCAGTCTTATACGGGCAAGTCATTGTAATGGAAGGCTCTCTATAGGAATAATAGTAATGTGATCTCATTGAAGCTGCCTTTTATGGATTGGAGTCAAATAGGAAAGGATGTAGAGCTACATTAATGAACCGAGTATATCTCTGGGATTATTACTTAAAGTTGTTGAAATACTCTGAATTTTGTGATTATAATTATTTTATTCTCAGTTAATGTGCTTAACAGCAATAGTAATTAACCCACCAGATTGGAAATTTGCACGAGCTCTACCTTTGACATTAGGACAAATCCTAATTCTTTCTGCATATTACACACCATGATAAGAAGCAATCTATATATAATTTCTTTCACTGATATTTTTATTAAAAAGAAACTTTCATGAATACAATGATTAGCTTTCCATGCATTTTAAGCCACTGGCAAAGTCATCAGGAGCACTTCATTCTTTTACAAGCATTGGGTTCCTAATCTGTGTTGCACAAAGGACAATTTGGTGCTGCCTGCTACTTGGGCAGTCTTCAGGTAATGGCAGTGCTTTGCTCAGAACTTACTGTAGCCTGGGAAATACTGCAGCGTAATAAAGTGGTTGACAGGCATTAGCATACATAATGGGCCGTAATAGACATTTAATGCTGTGGAGCTCAAGGAGAGAGCTGCGGACTCCCATTGGGATAGTCCTCCATCGAAGCCCATTGATCACTGATTGCAGTGGGGAGAGGTTCATCCATCAGCTTCCGTAACCAGACGGCGCTGATGGAAAGTCTTTAGGTGGCATTCTGGATGAACCAAGCTTTCCATCTTTACAAACAAATGAGTGATATGACAAGCATGGTGTTCAAAACACATTTAACCAATTGATTTTCTTTCCTCTTGTAATAAGATCTGGAGACATATGAAAGTGTGTGGTGTGAGCGAAGATTAAAGGAATTGCTTTGTGCCCAGGAATATGCGGAACTCAGAGCCCATGAAAGTACTATAAAGCGTGTAGTCATCCATTCTTTCTTCCATCAAGTTTGTTATTGCAATAAATAGTTATTATTGAGTTGATGCTTTTTACTCCACTTTGCAGAATCTTATTTCAGGTCGGTGGGTGTGTGCAAGTGAGCACGCATGTGGCTGCCCTTGTCAGTCAACTTACTGTTGGAAGTTTTCAAGATGTTTGAGTGTAATTGTTTCTCGCTTCCCATTTAAACAAGCAGACCCAAAATGCTTTGTGTCAGTAACATGGTTGGTGAAAAGCAGCAGATATTGTACATCTGTGGTAGTCTCCGAGATTAGCGTAAGTGATGGTTGTCTTTTTTTTTTTTTCTCCCATATACAGCCCTGCCTTGAGCTTCACCTACCCATCTGCACCTGTCTCTCTCCATATGCATCAACAGATCTTAAGCCGACAGCAAAGCTTAGGCTCGGCCTTCGGGCACAGCCCTCCGCTCATCCACCCGGCCCCAACTTTTCCAACACAGAGGCCTATTCCGGGGATCCCCACAGTTCTGAACCCCGTCCAAGTCAGCTCTGGCCCTCCTGAGTCCTCACAGGTGAGAGAGACAGCTCCATGAGCTGGCCTGCATGGTCCCCATGGAGGGGCCTTGGACCATATCCACCGCTAGGGTGCATTCTTCAGTTCTGGCAAATGTCCTTTGTCCATACCCATCAGCAGACAAGAGTGTCTTCCACCTGATCATTTTCTCATAGGTGGAAAAGCAGGCTGCTTGATCAGGCTGTGCTTGGACCTGGCGCTTCCTGTAAATCACATGAGTTATAGAGACTGTGGGTGAGTGGGTGGCTCTCATCCAGCCCCGTCCACTCCCTCTGTTGGTCCCTGGTAGCTACCGAGCATCATGTAACACGTTAAGAACCAAGCTGTGCCACACCCTCCATTCCCATTGCCCCTCTAATACTTTCTGAACAAGACTCTTAATGCTGCCACTAAAGAATTTTACAAATGGTTCCTCATGGCCCTACAACTCTAGTCTTTGGGAGTACAGTGTTGGAGCCCATTAAAGCCTACCACCCCAGCTCTATTCTCAAAACCCACAGAGAATTTATGCTCATGAATGAAAAATGAGGCACAGCCCTGTGAATGTGGCATCCAGCTCTGATCATATCTGTTTCCAGGGCAGTGGGGCTTTCTGAATCATTGCCTTGTGGCCAAGTAAGCTGATGTCTTGAGTTGCAGGTTTTAATTTTGGTCCCAGTCATTAATCAAAACTTAATTTTTGTCTTGGGCTGCACGTGCGACCAGCAGAACAAGCCCACAAGTGAGTCTGCAGTGAGCAGCACAGGCGACCCTATGCACAACAAGCGATCCAAGATCAAGCCCGATGAAGACCTCCCCAGCCCAGGGGCACGGGGGCAGCAGGTAGGAGCTGCAGGCTGTGCTACCAGCGCTTCCCCTCCTCCTTCACTGGGGTCTTGGGGCCAGCACTCCTCTCTCTCCCTCCCTCCAATCCTTGTTGAACATCGATATTTTCAGCCTTGGCCATACCTCATGTAACAGACACAGACCATGTATAGAGTGACTGTTTGTTTCCCTAGCTTGGAAGCAAACAGGAGCAGATCAAGAAGCTGTGTGGCATACGTGTTTTAATGTTTTAGACAGCTTAAGAGTTTAGGCTGCTTGAGATGATGGAGTTTGGCCCTAAAGATCTGATTTTCTGGCCAAAAGGAAAAGCTGGGGCAGAACAAGTGATGTTCCTTACACTGATCACATTCTTGTTTTTGTTTTCTGACATTAGTATGCCCTACTTTTTTTTTTTTTGCCAGCTCAGTCTGCCCTGAGGGCCAGGCTGGTGTGGCATGTGGTGTCAAGGACTGAACCATGGTTCCCTGAGCCTACCTAAGCTTGCCTAAGCAGGCAGTTTAGACTGCTGAGCTATCTCGCCGGCCCCAGTCAGTGTGCCCTACTTTTGAGGAAAGCTGGGAGGGATGTAGGCACAACTTACCTAGTGCTAATTAGGTTCCATACTCAGCTGCTGGTCTCTTAAATCTAAGCTCGTAACTAAGAATGTGTAGGCTGTGCATGCAATACTGTCTCATGGGGGCCATGGGTATCTTGCTCCTGATATGGGAAGTAGTTCAGTGAATGCTCACTCTCTGCAACAGGTGCTGGCCAAGCGGCTAGACCTGCATGGGATCTCTGCCTTTGCTGTTATCAGTTGCTTCAGCCCAAACTTGAGGCTGCTTTATCCAAAATTTCCTTTTCAGTGTAAACTGTAACAGTAGAACGAACTGGTGATATGGATTTGGAAATCAATCTTCCTTCTGTATTTTGCTCGAAAACAGCCTCCCCAGGTTCACTTTAGTGTGTGCATACAGTTTTTATCATCTGGCCCTGGATTAGAATTCAGATCTACATCTCTAGTTATTTTCCAGAAATCTAGAAATTCGTTTATCGCATCACTATGAAAGTGCTGTAGAAGACTAGAAAGGTGGACTGGGAAAGTGCTTGCTTGGCCAGCAGGAGGCCCTGGGTTCAGTGCCCAGCGCTGCAAAGCACAAACAAAAAAGAAAACAGGAAGAAGGTTGGAAGGACTACAGGACCATGCCCCGGACCAGCACAAGATGCTGCGGGGCCTCAGGCTCTGCTCTTGAAGACCTGAGGCTGAGCCAGGAAGATGCTGTCCCTGAGTAGTTCACAAAGTGCCCCAGCAGAGAAACCCAGAGGTGTTAGCACTCATGTACTGCTCTCTGTATTACAAATAGGAGAGTAGAGGAATTAGTACACTGAAATGCATTAGAGCAACAAGACCAACTAGAAGGACCTGTCTTCGGCCAAATTTAGTTGTCTTATGGGTTTTATTTTGTGTTTGTTTATTGTTTGGGTTTTTAAAAAAAACATTTTTATTTATTTACAGCTTTATATGCATGGCAGCAAAGTTAGCCTTCAATTTTTCAGTCATCATTATGACTTTTGAATCACAAGATTAAAAAAAAAAAATTCTCAGAAGCTGTGTTTGGTAAATCTGGAAAAATGTGTGCAAACAACTCCAGGTGTTCTACTTCTTCTGTTCGCAAAACCCAGCTGGGAAAGCTGAGGTCTGTTTCTCACTTTGGCTGAAGGATCGCGTTAGGAGGAAGGCAAACCTGAAGCAGGTTGCTGCTTTCTCTGCTTCTCTTGCTTCCCAGTGTGCCTGACACTCCCTTCCCCCATTTCCTTTTCCTCACACTCTGTCTTGCAGGAGCAGCCAGAAGGAACAACCCTGGTCAAGGAGGAAGGGGACAAAGATGAAAGCAAACAGGAGCCTGAAGTCATCTATGAGACAAACTGCCACTGGGAAGGCTGCACCAGGGAGTTCGACACCCAGGATCAGCTCGTGCACGTAAGTGACCAGGGCTGCGGCCTCGGCCTCAGCTACAGACCTTCCCTGTGCGGGTCAGCTTCTCTGACCCCGGCTGGGTCGGGTTTCTTCGCTAGCAGTGCTGCAGACTAGAGAGCGCTTTATGACTTTCTGAGAATAAAGAAAATTCTGAACCACAGTGCTTGACCTGTGCAGTCAGCTAAAGCTTAGTGTAAAATCCAATAAAGTCTTCAATAGAGAGTGTAATGACTCCGATCCTGTAAGCCAGAAAACACTATTTGGAGTTAGCGACTTTGATGGTTGTTGAGTAATAGTAAGCTGGACATGAATTATTATTAACCTTTTAACCAAGTTTAGTTCCCCTTCCAAGACCCAGTAATAATTGGAAAAATGGTAGGTGTGGAGGACTCCTTTTCATATTTTTTTCTCCTACAAATTTCCCATTATTTTATAGAGCAATTAGTACTCTGTGAAGTTGTATAGATGTTTGGGATAAACTGTTAACGTAATTTGGACTTGAGGGTAACTCCTGTGGGCTTAATAGCTTCATGGAAATAATTACATGTGCTTTTAGATGTGTTTAATGATGTGCTCAGTGGTCGGATTGCAAACCGAACCTTCTCTCCCACACCAGGCCCAGATGTCTTTCTCTAGCCATCTTCTGCTATTTCAGACAATGTGGGTCACACCCAGCCCTGCCTTCCCTGCTTGCTGGTGCTGCACAGGACTTGGCACTTTCTCGGTGGCCAGGGTGGTCTTCCCGGCTGGTAGAAGCAAGAGAAGCTGGTGTAGAGCGCCACTTAGAGCATCCAGAATAAAAAGATACAGGCTCAGCCAGCTTCTCTGCTGAGGGAAATGGTCAGACGGTTCTATGGAAGCAGGAGGGATAGTGTCACCCAATAGGACAGTTTTCTAAGCTTTTAATATGATGGCAAATCTGGCAGGGCAGCCTTGCAGTGATTACCTGTCATATACATTCTCTCTCTCTCTCTCTCTCTCTCTCTCTCTCTCTCTCTCTCTGTCCCTCTGTCTCTCTGTCTGTCTGTCTGTCTCTTTCCGTCTGTCTCTCTCTCTCTCATTATCTGTTCTTTTGCACTACTTTTGTACTTTTATATGATGCCTGTATCTTGAGAACGCTTCCATGTGGATTAAACACAAAAATCATAAAGTTTCTCTCACATGCTTCATAGGTTTCATGGGTTTTTGTAATTTCTGTCGCAACCTGTGTAATACATCTCTTCATATCCCAGTTGCAGGGCAGTGTTTCATCCACAGCTTGCTGGGTCGTGAGATTTGTTGTACACAGAATGTTTTGAGGACTTTCTGTGACATCACTGGGGCCCCACTCCCATTGCTTTGTTGATCATGTCTCTTTGTAATTGTACATGAAGAATTATAGGTTCCCAAACATGGAAGGAAAATAAAAACAGCCAAATGTTTTTAATTAAGGTATATTTTCAAATTTTTCCATGAACATAATTTGATTTTTTCTCTTTAATCTGATGTATTATTTTTAAACCAAGCTTGATTTAATGGTCCTTTATTCTTGCTGACTACTTTAATGGAAACCACAAAGACGTAGTAGGACTATGGGGTGGTGAGAGTTGGAAAAAATTTTAATATGAAGAAATACTCTTGAAGAAGAGGAGGCATATGCTGTGAATGTTTTCAGTGATATAACCAGTGAACAATGTAAATAAAGAGAATTGTTTGTGTTAAAGCATCCACCCTTCAGAAGATGGTTCCAGGGCTACGTGTTTAAAAGCATCTTTCTGAGGGCCTGAGAGTATGACTCCCTGGTAGAAGGAGCGCTCACCGTGGCCCAGGTCGTGGGTTCCATTTGCAGAGTTGACAAAAAAAATTCTTCTAAGGGGAAAAATTCTCTTGGAGGCTGAGTCATTACAGTTTCTGAGGAGCGCTGCGTCACTGGCTCTATCATTAGTGCGTGCGTGCGCGGGATGAAATAGGAGCTTTGTTAAATCCAGATTTCTAATGATGTGAGCATGTCATGGCCATGTGCAGGATGTAAGAGCAGTTTAACATTGCCCTGTGTCAGTGATCTATAAACTTTTATCAGACAACAAATACAGCTGGGGAAATAGCTCAGCAGTCTGGGCGCCTGCCTGGCAAGTGTGAGGACCCGGGTTTGATCCCTGGTGCCACATGCCATGTGGGCCCCAGAACTCTGCGTGTGCTGTGCCAGCCACTGAAACCAGGCCTGATGGCACACGCCTGTTGTTCCAGTGCTAGGGAGGCTGAGACAGGAGGATCACTGTGAGTCTGAGCTGTGTGGTGAGACCTTATACCAAATAAATAAATCAATTAATTAATTTAAAAAGAAATAAAATGTATATAAAACTACCATATTTTTAAAAAATGAATATTGCAGGTGTTTTGTTTTAATCTTAGTTGTAAAAGGTCCCTGTGACATTTTCATAAAGAATTCTGAGGGCTGGCAGTATAGCTCCGTGGACTAAGCACTTGCTTAGGTAAGCCCAGGGGCCAGGGTTTGATAGCTGGCACCGGGTACGGCACTGGCCCCACATCTGGGTGCACTGAGCCAGCGATGGAGTCTAAACGTGGTGGCACATGCCTGTAATCCCAACAGTAAGGAGGCAGAAATCAGGATCACTACGAGTCTGAGCTGAGTAGTGAGATCCTGCACGCACGCACACACACACACACAAAGAATTCTTACTCATTTTAAGTGAAGGCTGCATAAGCCACTACCTGAATGATCACCGTGTTTTTTCTCTTTTATGGAAAAGTGTCTTTTTAAAAAAATACGATTTCACACATACAAGGTGGCATTTTTTTCTCGAATCAGCTAAAATATATTCATGTCAGGGTTAGAAGAAATTTCAGTGTGTTAACCTTTTGATACTAGTTTTATCTGTGCCAAGTTACAAGTACATTTAATAAGTGAGCTAAAAATTATAATTTACGACAACGCAAATAAAGACACTAGTTCATATCACTTGTATAACAAGTGTCCTAAACATATAAATCACAAAGTTGTACACTGAAATGATTTCACAGGGTGGGAAACACAGGCATCTTCCTGCTCTTGAGTGTATCTGGCAACACGAGCAGTAACTGCCTTATACAGAAGAGGAACCTCCTATTTTGTTGATTGAAGGAAGAACTACTTCAGACTCACCTAATTACTTTGGTGGCAGATAGGGTATATATTAGCTGCAAAGCCCACGTCTTAGGGACAGGGAGAGGCATTAACCATTGCTGCTCCTGTGACGCCCCTTGGCCAGAGGTTTTGTGAATTAGTTGAATTTCCATGCCGCATACAACCAAGAGGCAAGGTGTTAAACCATTCTCTGCTCTGCCTTATTTATAGCCACGACCCATTCTTTTTTCCCCCTCTTACAGTTAATAGAAAGATTCATGATTCTTCATGGTTGTCTATCTAGTGTCTGACAGTCCTGACTGCCTGCTAAAGCAGGTCACTATCTATAATTGATATCCTTCCCTGGAATAGGGTGCTGGCTGCAATTGAAGGGCTTTGCTGAAAGCTCTTAAATCCTGACAAGTTCTCCCCTTGTTCTGGTTCAGTCACTGAGCTGCACGGTTGGAATTCCGGAGTTATTTGAACTTGGTGCAAAAGGGAGACATGTGTTTCACATTAGCAAATCACAAAGTTGAAGAAGAGAATTAGGAACTCGGCGGACTTGCCTGCCAGGTAGTCTCATTTGCAGCGTAATGCGCTCCATGTACTCTTGAGGAGATTACCTCTTCCATTACCGTCTGAACAGATGGGCTAAATGCGATCTCTTCCTTCTCTTCCCCTTTCTTTCAGCCTTTGCCCTCTTGCAGTAGTCTTTGTTCTATGCTTGCTGTTGGGATCTTTATCCCTGGGCTGTTTAATTAATTGCACTTTCTCACAGTAACATTATTACTGTTCTCAAGCTAGTATTAAATTTGCCATGCGTTTACTTCTAGGACCAGAAGCTAGAAAGGTAAACATATTTTTTTATTAACTGAGTTTTGCTGAGCTTTGTCCCTTTCTTGGGGTCAGTTAAAACAGGATGGAATAAGAAACCAAGATGGGTGTATTGTCCACAAATGAATTTTATATATATATGGTATTGGACTGATGAAATTTATTCTTGGTTTGTCAAGATGCATGTATTTTCTCTTCCCTTGACCCCTGAAAGATCAGTATCCTAACATTTCAAATCAGGTGAAAGTCCACATTTCTGCTTAATTTCAAGTTAAACAGATTCTTTTTGTTGTGTTTTTATTAAAAAAAGACATGAATGTTAAATTTAAAGTGCTTCTGAAAGTAAGCTTCAAAGTTAGTGTCAGTTTCAAAGTGTGTTTGGCTTTGGTTTGGCTGTTCTTCTACTGTTTCACTTAGCTTGTGTTACTATGCAAAGCAGCTCTGCCTGGCTTTTTACGTGGAGAAGAGACCCTTTCCTGCCCTCCTGAGGTCCATCATTCTCTTGTTTTTATTTTGTCCAGCATACGCTCCTTCTATGATTGTTTGATGGTTGAGGCATCAGAAATATTCATAGCATGCCGCACAAGTACATCTCAGGTTCTCTGTACCTTGCACACTGCGCTGGTGAGTGACATCTTGTCTCCACCAATATTTTGTGAGGCCCTCTGCAAAGAGGAAAAGGAATCAGTGTGAGGAATGTGCAGCTCCGTGTAGAGCCACCACTGTGGTGAGGCTGGTGGGGCTTGAAAACATCACAGCTGAGATCTGAAGGAAGGAAAACAGTGGGACCCCCAGAGTGCTTTTCTACCTGTTTGTTGTGTCCCCACAACTCTCGGCCCTCAATTCCAAACATTCCAGCCTTTATATCTGCTTAAGAAATAACACATAAAAATCCTCCCAGTGATCTTCTAAAACTGAAACTATTTTTAACAGTTTTATTCACCAGCCTGATTCCTTATGGATTTCTTGTGGCCATTCTTATGGAATGGCCTGACCATTACCCTTGGGGAGGGTTTAACTTCTCCCTATGAGGCTGAGCTATTCAGAATGTGGAGCGTATTCATAG